CAAACACCACAAGTTACAGTTTTACAGACACACATAAACCTCAGTACAAAGGATCGTTTAAAAAAAAACTCAAAACTTTCATCTACATAGGCTTTCCCGCACATTACCTTCCTCTGGATCAACTGGGGGTATAGAATTATATCTTTTTTATTTTTTTAATGGTTGAACTGGATGGACTTTTGTCTTTTTTTCAGCCAGACTAACTACAGTATATACCTTAAAGAAGAACATCATTAAGCCTGGGTTCACATGCATGTGGCTCTGTATATCGTATGTGATTCGAACAGGAACCGCACTGCATTCCTGTGCAAATCACATGCCATTTGTGTGCAGTGTGATCGGAGCCATACATTTTGTATGGCTCTATTCGCACCCGCACCAAGAACGTGCAGAACCCTTTTTTTTGTGTCTGCATTAGAATCGGATCGCATAGGTATTCACACCTATGCGATCCGATTCTTCACATCGCACCGTGTTATGCAGACCGCTTTCGGAGTGTTGTTAACTTAACATACACACCCGCAGCGGTTCACATGAACGGGGTGCGATTCTGATGCGGTGTGGAATTCACACTGAAAATGCTGCAAATTCCGCACCGCATCAGTGTGAACCAGGGCTAAAAGCAGCAACAAGTAACAAACACTTTGGTCAGAACTAAGAGAGTGCAGGGGTCAGGAGTAAAGCTGCCCATAGATTAATCATTGTGAAGGAATTATTTCCTGCTGTGCCATTTTATTCTGACAGCGGGACTCCTCCGCTGTCAGAATATACTGATCAGAGCTGCAGCTGCAGATCATCAAATGTTTTCCAGCATTCCCGCTTCACAGAAGTTGATTGTTGGGGAGAGAGACAGAAGAGGGGAGGAGGGAGAGAGATGGGGAGAGAGGGGAGAGAGAGAGAGAGAGAGAAGAGGGTTGGAGGGGAAGAGATGATGGGGGGAAGAGGGAGGGGAAGCGATGATGGGTAAGAGGAGAGAGAGGAGAGGAAGAGAGAGAGGGGGGGGGAGAGAGAGAGGGGGGAGAGAGAGGGGGAGAGAGAGGGGGGAGAGAGAGAGAGAGGGAGAGAGAGAGAGAGTTGGAGGGAGAGAGATGATGGGGGGGGAGAGAGAGATGAGGGTTGAAGGGAGAGAGATGATGGGGGGAAGAGGGGGGGGAAGGGGCACTTAACAGGACCCAGAAGACTGCGAGACTATTCACAAGGCGCAGCGAGCTTCGTACGTGCACAGTAGGGCACCGGCTGTGAAGCAGCAAGGCTTCACTGCAGGTTTCCTTTACTTAAGATGCCAGCACCTACTGTACACCTGAAGAATTGGCTCAGAGGAGGACATCGCTAGATCCCTATACAGGTAAGTGTCCTTATATTAAAAGTCAGCAGTTACAGTACTTGTAGCTGCTGACTTTGAATTTTTATGAGGGGGGGCCTGGAGCTCCGTTTTAAAATAAAATTTAACCTTTTTCTCTTCCTTATTCTTTTTTATTTCCTTTCTTACTTTATTATGTCCTTTCTCACTCCTCCGTGTAACATGGTTGGGTGAGTTCAATTGTATTTGTTATATAACATTTGTCATGTTTGTCCTAATGCTTCTTTAATGCACTTCTTGCAGATACCAGTATTGAGTCTTATTTCTGCGATATATCATGACATTTGTCTTTGATGTTCTTTGTACTTTGAAAAATCTTTTAATAAAAATTATTGGAAAATAACCTATAATTTACCCAGGTTAATTTTTACAGTGGTGTAAGCAAATGAAGTAATTTGACTGGTTGCAATGAGCAGCAAGAAATGTTTCTATTCCATTGTATGTATTTCTTAATTATGTGAGTTTTTCTCATGTTTTATCATAACTGGAGTTTCATTTGAAATAAAAGCTGTAGTGGTCAAAAACCTAGAAAAAAACATTTGCTTTGGATAGTAGGAAATAAAGCCACAAAAGAAAAAACACAGGGCCTTTTGAAAGTTTTCTAAGGACCCCATGAGGATGGGGGATGCTTACCTTACTACTACAGAAGTTTTGGCAGATAGTATTTGTATGGGCCTTTCAGGAGTCTACCAGGGAACTCTGAAGGGTCTGGCATTGACTATATACATACACACACACACAAAGTGAATAATATTAATTATTTCAATACAATGCCATCTGAAAGTGGGTAAGATATATTAGGCAGCAAGTGAGCAAGTTCTCCATGAAGTTGATGTGTTGAAAGCAGAAAAAATGAGCATACGTAAGGATTTGAGTGTCTGCAAGAGCTAAATTGCAATGGCTAGATGACTGGTACAGAACAACTCCAAACCTGCAGCTCTTGCAGGATGTTCCCAGTCTGCAGTGGTCAGGATCTACCAAAAGTGGTCCAAGAAAGGAAAATCCATGATAGGATCATGAGTGACCAAGGTGATAGGAAGGCTTCAGAACACACAGTCCATTGCAGTTTGTTGTGCATGGGGCTCATAGCCACAGACCAGTCAGAGTTCCTATACTGCCTCATGTCCACAGCGAAAAGTGCCTACAATGGGCACGTGAGCATCAGAACTGGACCACAGAGCAATGGAAGAGGGTGGTCTGGTCTGATGGATCCAAGAATGGTTTGAGGAACACACGTTTGCTGACTGGGCCTCCAAATTCTCCAGATCTCAGTCCAACCAAGCAATTATAGGATGTGCTTGGAAAACAAGTCTGATCCATGGAAGTCCCACCTCACAACTTACAGTATTATAAAGTATCTGCTACTGATGGCTTGGTGCCAGATGCCACGACATACAGTGGGGCAAAAAAGTCTTTAGTCAGCCACCAATTGTGCAAGTTCTCCCACTTAAAAAGATGAGAGAGGCCTGTAATTGGCATCATAGGTAGACCTCAACTATGAGAGACAAAATGAGAAAATAAATCCAGACAATCACATTGGCTGATTTGGAAAGAAATTATTGGCAAATTATGGTGGAAAATAAGTATTTGGTCAATATCAAAAGTTCATCTCAATACTTTGTTATATATCCTTTGTTGGCAATGACAGAGGTCAAAACGTTTCCTGTAAGTCTTCACAAAGTTGGCACACACTGTTGCTGGTATGTTGGCCCATTCCTCCATGCAGATCTCCTCTAGAGCAGTGATGTTTTGGGGCTGTCGCTGGGCAACACAGACTTTCAACTCCCTCCAAAGGTTTTCTATGGGGTTGAGATCTGGAGACTGGCTAGGCCACTCCAGGACCTTGAAATGCTTCTTACGAAGCCACTCCTTGTTGCCCGGGCGGTATGTTTGGGATCATTGTCATGTTTGAAGACCCAGCCACGTTTCATCTTCAATGCCCTTGCTGATGGAAGAAGGTTTGCACTCAAAATCTCACGATACGTGGCCCCATTCATTCTATCCTGTACATGGATCAGTCGTCCTGGTCCCTTTGCGGAGAAACAGCCCCAAAGCATGATGTTGCCACCCTCATGCTTCACAGTAGGTATGGTGTTCTTTGGATGCAACTCAGCATTCTCTCTCCTCCAAACATGACGAGTTGTGTTTCTACCAAACAGTTCTATTTTGGTTTCATCTGACCATATGACATTCTCCCAATCCTCTTCTGGATCATCCAAATGCACACTAGCAAACTTCAGACGGGCCTGGACATGTACTGGCTTAAGCAGGGGGACACGTCTGGCACTGCAGGATCTGAGTCCCTGGTGGCATAGTGTGTTACTGATGGTAGCCTTTGTTACGTTGGTCGCAGCTCTCTGCAGGTCATTCACTAGGTCCCCCCGTGTGGTCCTGGGATTTTTGCTCACAGTTCTTGTGATTATTTTGACCCCACGGGGTGAGATCTTGCGTGGAGCCCCAGATCGAGGGAGATTATCAGTGGTCTTGTATGTCTTCCATTTTCTAATTATTGCTCCCACAGTTGATTTGTTCACACCAAGCTGCTTGCCTATTGCAGATTCAGTCTTCCCAGCCTGGTGTAGGTCTACAGTTTTGTTTCTGGTGTCCTTCGACAGCTCTTTGGTCTTCACCATGGAAGAGTTTGGAGTGTGACTGTTTGAGGTGGTGGACAGGTGTCTTTTATACTGATAACAAGTTCAAACAGGTGCCATTGATACAGGTAATGAGTGCAGGACAGAGGAGCCTCTTAAAGAAGAAGGTACAGGTCTGTGAGAGCCAGAAATCTTGCTGGTTTGTAGGTGACCAAATACTTATTTTCCACCATAATTTGCAAATAAATTCTTTCCAAATCAGCCAATGTGATTGTCTGGATTTTTTTTTCTCATTTTGTCTCTCATAGTTGAGGTCTACCTATGATGCCAATTACAGGCCTCTCTCATCTTTTTAAGTGGGAGAACTTGCACAATTGGTGGCTGACTAAATACTTTTTTGCCCCACCTTTAGAGGTCAAGTGCAGTTTTGCCAATACAGGATAACTTCTGTGTGTCATCACAGGCATGGATGAACTTCTAATATTTAAAATGCTAAATTGACTTGAAGATGAACTTGCTTAATCATGTTTGTGAATTCTTTATACTGTATATGTGGTCATAATTAAACATCTATTCATTATTTTTTAAGAGGTGTGCTTGTTGTTTATTATAGACGTTTTTAATAATAATCCTGAATGTCAGTTACACAGATCATACATAGGGAACTTTTCCTATATTGAAGGGTCTATCTTGTACATGACATTAGATATATGCCATGACACATCTTAAGTATATAGGTAAGTAACTGCTGCGTCCATAAAAGAATACAAATTTTAACAGATAAAAAACAATTTTGCCCACATACCTAATATAAAAAAATATAACAATACAATGATGTAAAGAACATAATGAGTTGTAATGATATGGCAAATCTGGCTACTTTGTTTGGCCAATAAAATTCCATGATGACATTTTGAAGAGTGAGTGACGTGACACTTGACTGGAGACAATGGTGCTGTAGAGCATAAACAGAGGGTTGGTCTCCAGATCACCTTCTATACATTTGAGAAAACAGTACACTAAACTATGCAGGGTTCTTATAGAGATTCCTAATCCAGACATATGTCTTCTGCAGACAACAGTTTCTCAGCTATGACATTCAGTTCGCATTCCACGAGTGCATCCACCAGTCTCTTTAATGTTGCTTTCTTGCCCTCACCATCCATAAAACATCGCAATAACTGATAGGCCTGTTCATAAAGACCTTCCTTGTCATATTCGTATGCTAGGTTGTCTATTTTGGGATCTTCTAGAGCCCGGCAAGTTTTCTTCAATGACCGTCCCACCTTCTTCCAAGACCTGCCCACCAAATTTGCAAACCGCTGTTGGTGTTCTGAAGTCAGAGGTTTATCAGCTGTAAAAATATTTTGAGTTTAAAATTAATAAAACATTCAATGGAAATCACAAAAATATCCTAAGAGGTTGACTCCTATGGACTCAAAGACCATTCTGGGTCCTACTATCTGGCATTCTAAGACCAAATTTAGTTTTTGTATGTACCATTTGTAAACAAATTTGTTAGTTGCTAGAGCAGTGGTCTTCAAACTGCAGCCCTGGGGCTTGATGCTGCCCTTTGCTTTCCTTTATCTGAGCCTTGAGGCATTAGTCCTGCCACTGACACCAACAATGGGAAACAATTCCTTCAACTGACACCAGCGATGGGGCACTAGTCTTTCCACTGACACCAATTATTTCTAACCCTAATACCAAAGATTGGGCATTGTTTATTCCCACTGGGCACAGTCCGGCCAACATGAAGTCTGAAGGACAGTAAAACTGGCCCTTTCTTCAGAAAGTTTGGAGATCCCTGTGCTAGAGCATTAGTCTTGCTTTGTATGAGGGAAAACCTGCTAAGGAAGATGGATCCTTGGAGTAGGAAGAGCAGGGTTTCTGTAATCCAGGCAGAGTTTATTTTCAGTGGGAACGTAGAGAAACGCAGTTCAGGCACCTCCAGCACTAAATGTATGTAATGGCAAGGGGTGCTGGGGTGTGCCTGAGGGTCTATTGATTCTGGCTACTGGGGGATCTATTGTTGCTGGGTAGGGGGGGAATCTCTTGATGAGGGAGGAGTCTATTGCTGCTGAAGGGTCAGTTGTTGCTGTGAGGAATCTACTCTTAAAGGATGGGTCTGTTGCTGCTGGCTTCTGGAAGATCTATTGTTGGTGGTGGGGCCTACTGTTGCTGGAGTGGGTCTATTGTTGCTGGGAGGTAATTAGTTTGCTGGTAGGTGCTTTTGTTGCTGGCAGCAGGGGATCTATTTTAGTGCTTTTTATGTTATCATTAGCAAATTCCATTCAAAATTACTTAACACCACAAAATGATACTTGGTTCCATATTCATTAAAAGGAGTGGTACTAGGAGGTGGTAAGCAATGGAACCAAAGGATATTGCTCGTAGGTGGGTAGGGGCGAAGACAAGGGGTGATTCAGAAGGGGGGAGTTCCTGCACCTATTCTTTAATAAAAAAAACCCTGAATCCTGGAATTCTTCTTTTCCCAATACTAGATCATCTGGTTTACTAGAGAGCTTTTATGTGGCATTTTTCTAAAATCAAAATGCAACTGAAGCCCTCCAAAAATGCTAGTAGGTAACATTTGTTATGAGACGTTGTTATGGTGCTTCAGGCAGAAAAAACAACCTGTTTGCTAGCATTTTCAAATTCCTGGAAATCAGCGAAAAGGCAGAATAATGTAACTCCAGCACACAAGCTACATCACCACTAGTCACCCAAAGTCCAAAGATAGAAGGCACAGGGTCTGGAAGAAGCAGTGAAGCATGTAGCAGCAACAGTAATGGATCAGCGATGGGAACCTCTAACCTGGTTTGCTGGATGGGCGGGTATACTTTCACATTATGGCAAGTATTCCTATGAACAGGGGCAGACTGACCATTTGGAAACTCGGGCTCAGTAGGGGCCCCATGGGATGCCCCTGTATATTTTTCACAGGCTTTTTTGAGTTTGGGCAAGGACACAGGGGCCCATGATCCCCTATTGCCCGGGGGCCCCGTGAGTTGTCAGTCCGCCCCTGCCTATGAACCTACGGTTTATACTTTAATCTAAGCAGAGGATAGCTAGAAGATAAATTAGAAACAATTTATTATAAGGTCTACAAGTCTTCTTAAAAATAAAGTAACAAATGTGTATTCAAGAAACATATGAACATGCAACTTAAAGTTGTCAGCCAAATAGGAATATTTACTGTATTATAGGAAAAGCTCCCACACTCCAAAAGACATGCTGGTAGGTTAATTGGCTCCTGTCTAAATTGGCCCTAGTATGTGTATGTATGAAATGTGAGTTAGGGACCTTAGATTGTACGCCCCTTGAGGGTTAGGGACTGATGTGAATGTACAATATATATATGATAAAGCGCTGTGGTAAATTGACAGTGCTATATACAGTCATGGCCGAAATTGTTGGCACCCTTGATATTTCTCCAGGAAATCATGTATTTCTCACGAAACGTATTGCATTAACACATGTTTTGCTATACACATGTTTATTCCCTTTGTGTGTATTGGACAAAACAAAAAAAGGGAGGAAAGGAAAGCAAATTCGACATAATGTCACACAAACCTCCAAAAAATGGGCTGGAACAAAAGTATTGGCACCCTTTCACAACTGCGGATAAATAAGAATGTTACAACATGTTGATGCTCCTGTAAACTCACCTGGGGCAAGTAACAGGTGTGGGCAATATAGAAATCACACCTGAAAGCAGATAAAAAGGAGAGACGTTCACTTAACCTTTGCATTGTGTGTCTGTCTGTGCCACACTAAGCATGGACAACATAAAGAGGAGACGAGAACTGTCTGAGGACCTGAGAACCAAATTGTGGCAAAATATCAACAATCTCAAGGTTACAAGTCCATCTCCAGAGAACTAGATTTGCCTTTGTCCACATGCGCAACATTATCAAGAAGTTTGCAACCCATGGCACTGTAGCTAATCTCCCTGGTCGTGGACGGATGAGGAAAATTGATGAAAGATTGCAACGCAGAATAGTCCGGATGGTGGATAAGCAGCCCCAAACATGTTCCAAAAGACATTCAAGCTGTCCTGCAGGCTCAGGGAGCATCAGTGTCAGCGCGCGACTATCCGTCGACATTTAAATGAAATGAAACGCTATGGCAGGAGACCCAGGAGGACCCCACTGCTGACACAGAGACATAAAAAAGCAAGACTACAGTTTGCCAAATGTACTTGAGTAAGCCAAAAGCCTTCTGGGAAAACGTCTTGTGGACAGATGAGACCAAGATAGAGCTTTTTTTTCGGTAAAGCACATCATTCTACTGTTTACCGAAAACGGAATGAGGCCTACAAAGAACAAAACACAGTACCTACGGTAAAATATGGTGGAGGTTCAATGATGTTTTGGGGTTGTTTTTGCTGCCTCTGGCACTGGGTGCCTTGACTGTGTGCAAGGCATCATGAAATCTGAGGATTACCAAAGGATTTTTGGGTCGCACTGTAGGGCCCAGTGTCAGAAAGCTGGGTTTGCGTCCAAGATCCTGGGTCTTCCAGCAGGACAATGGACCCCAAACATACGTCAAAAAGCACTCAGAAATGGATGCAAAGAAGCGCTGGAGAGTTCTGAAGTGGCCACAGCAATTGAGCCCAGATCTAAATCCCATTGAACACCTGTGGAGAGATCTTAAAATTGCTGTTGGGGAAAAGGTGTCCTTCCAATAAGAGAGACCTGGAGCTGTTTGCAAAGGAAGAGTGGTCCAAATTTACCGGGTGAGAGAGTGTCAGAAGCTTATTGATGGTTATAGGAAGCGACTGATTTCAGTTATGTTTTCCAAAGGGTGTGCAACCAAATATTAAGTTAAGGGTGCCAATACTTTTGTCCAGCCCATTTTTGGGTTTTTTGGGTGTGACATTATGTCAATATTGCTTTTCTGCCTCTGTTTTATATTTTGTTCCAATACATACAAAGGGAATAAACATGTGTATAGCAAAACATGTGTTAATGCAATACCTTTTTTTGTGTGAAATACTTGATTTTCAGGAAAAATATCAAGGGTGCCAACAATTTCGGCCATGACTGTAAGTACCTGTAATAAATAGCTAAAAAAAAAAGGAGGGGTTATGTCAATGTATTTGTATGTGGGCAGAATTCAGATTTCTAAAAGTAGAGTTTTTCACAGCTGCTATCTAGGGATTGATAGAGAGTTGTAACATGGGGGAGGGACCAATCAACTGCTTAGGATAGTCCCCATTCACACATACTGTTAGATAGGATGAGAGGAACGACATGAATTACTACAACTGTGAAATTTTGAGTTGTCATTTGATGTTAATATAAAATGGAAACATTCTAGATGGTGTTAAAAAATATTTCATAAAAAAAAAATGATCAGGTTCCTAGGATATAAAAGCTCGGAGTTGTGTTAAAGCATGAATAATTGAGGATTACACACATTGTGATATTTAGAGATTATTATTATTATTATTATACAGTATTTATATAGCGCCAAAGGGTTTGCTCAGCGCTGTACAATAGCAAGGGGGACAGAACATGAGACAAGACAGTAACAATACACTACACGAGGGGTTCGAGGGCCCTGCTCTTTCGAGCTTACAATCTAGGAGGGAGGGGAAGGTGGTACAGGAGGAAGTGGCTGTGGGGGATGGAGTGGTAGGAGGAGTGGAGGTGTCAGTTGTTAGGTCAGGATGGGGTAGGCTTCCCTGAAGATATAGGTTTTCAGGGTGCGCCTGAAGGTGAGGAGGGTAGGTGACAGTCTGATGGATTGGGGTAGGGAGTTCCAGAGATGTCACCTGAACACTCTGAAATGTTGTTAGAACATAATAACAAGCAGCGTTAAAATAAATCATATTCCTCGGTGAACTGAACATTTTAATGTTGGCATTTCTACTTACCAAATTCTTGTCCCTTGGAAATGGAATGTGCTTGGTTCAGATGAGAACGAGCAGAGGGGGAGGGGAGGAGAGCTCTGACTTGAGTTCCCTATAGGAGAGAGGTAGAGGAGTTGCTGTTCTGTGAGGAGAGGCTGGATCCTAAAAGATAAATTTAAGAAGTTTCTTTCCAGCTGAACAAGGTCTTCATCCTTGACGTAACTTGGCTGAAATATAAAACATGCCATTTTAATGTCAATATAAATATGTATGTGTTAAAGTTGTAAAGGCAAAAAGGATTTTTAACTTAATGTATTCTCTGCACAAAGGTAAACAACCTACCAGGGTCATAGACCCCTCCAAATACTTACCTAAGCCTGATCTTGATCCAGATCTGCACTCTCTCTCACAGAACTCAGAGGCAGCCATTGGCTCCTGCTGCTGTCAATTAAATCATGTGAGGAGGGAGTGGGGGAGGGGCCAAGCCCTGCTGTGTGTGTCAATAGACGCACACAGTTCAGCTTGCGGCTTGCTATGGGGGGCACTCAGAAGGGAGAGGAAGCCAAGAGCACCAGTAGGGGACCCCTGGAGAGGAGGCTTGGGGCAAAACTATTGCACAGAGCAGGTACGTATAACATGTTTATTATTTAAAACAAAATAGCTGAACCTTTACAATCACTTTAACTCTATGGAATAAGCAACTGTGGTGCAAAAAGGCAGCTATCCACTTATAGGGGAACCCTCTCCTAAAATGAAAAAAGTAGGGAATTGGCAGCACTCATTGTATTGCAAAAAAATGTTTTTGGCAACTTGCTTGCATAACAGAGGACCTAACAGGGATATCACTTGTAAAATTTTATATGAGCAAATCCATCTATATGAGCAAGTATCAGTGTTGGAATTCAATGTTCAATGCATTTTTTTGTAAATACAACTACATCAGTGTCAGTGTTCAGTAGAGATATATTCTTCAACCAGTAGATGGTGGTGTTAATAGTAGTAGTTTTTATAAGTTTGTAGCTGCATCTATAGGTAAATTCTATGTCTTCTCTATAATAAAGTTCCTGTTTCCTGTTTGTAGAGATTCAGAAAATAAACACATGTGGACTGTGCACTGTCTGTTCTGTATTTTCTAACAAGTTATGGGCCCAGACACTCAGTCATACTCAGCTACAAACAACAAAAAGAAGACTGCAACAGAATAAAAGAAAATGGCCAGTAACACAGCTGAAACAAAGCTTTTATTTGCAAATCCGACAAACCAGAACTACAACAGTCTTAGAAATTCAAGACGACAGTGCCACTAATAGTATAAATTAACCTCTTGCCGACCGCGCATAGCCGAATGACGGCTTCACCGCGGCCGGCCAGCTCTGAGTGGACGTCATATGACGTCCTCCCAGAACGCGCTCTCCTGCGCGCCCCAGGGGGCGCGCACCCGGCGATCTTCGTGATCGCTGTGTCCTACGGACACAGCTGATCACGTGATGTGGTGAAAGGCCGATCCCACCGGCCTTTTACCACGTGATCAGCGGTGTCCAATGACACGCTGATCACAGGGAAATGCAAGTGCCGGTTCTCGGCTGCACTTTCCTCACGCTGTCAGATCGTGAGGAAAGTACTGCCGAGAACCGGCAGTTGTCAGAGCGGGGATCGGCACCGATCATCAGGGCACTGATGATCAGTGCCCTGATGATCAGTGCCCAGCAGTGACACCCGCAAGTTCCGCCCAGCAGTGCGCCCACTAGCCCCGCCCACCCGTTCCCAGCAGTGCCCCCACCTGTGCCCAGCAGTGCCCCCACCTGTGCCCAGCAGTGCACCCACCTGTGCCACTCTGCAGTGCCACCTACCTGTGCCCAGACCACCTACATGTGCCAGCAGTGCCACCCACCTGTGCCCACCCACCTGTGCCCACCAGTGCCACCCACCTGTGCCCACCCACCAGTGCTGCCCACCAGTGCCACCCACCAGTGCAGCCCAGCAGTGCTGCCAGTCAGTGCCACCAGTCAGTGCCCAGGGGTTGTGCCAGTCAGTGCCGCCAGTCAGTGCCCAGAAGTGATGCCAGTCAGTGCCGTCTATCAGTACCCATCATCAGTGTCACCTATCAGTGCCGCCGCCTATCAGTGCCCCTGTCTCTATCAGTGCCGCCTATCCGTGCCACCTCATTAGTGCTGCCTATCAGTGCCCTTTAGTGCTGCCTATCAGTGCCCATCAGTGCCGCCTATCAGTGCCCATCAGTGCCGCCTCATCAACGCAAATCAGTGAAGGAGAAAAAATACCTGTTTGAAAAATTTTATAAAAGAAACAAATAAACTTTTTTTTTTTTTTTCAAATTTTTTGCACTTTTTTTAAATTTATAGCGCAAAAAGTAAAGCGCCCAGTGGCGATTAAATACCACCAAAAGAAAGCTCTATTTGTGAGAAAAAAATGATCAAAATTTCATATGGGTACAATGTTGCATAACCGCGCAATTGTCAATCAAAGTGCGGCAGCGCTGAAAGCTGAAAATTGGCCTGGTAAGGAAGGGGGTATAAGTGCCTGGTAGGCAAGTGGTTAAGTCAGGCCAGAACATCCTTCAGATGAGTGGATAAAGAAAGATTAGAAAGCTCAAAGCACAATCTCTCTTAGCATAGAAGGTGATCGAATCATACATATATGTAAGTGGAAACTACTAAAGAAATGTGGGAAGGATTTCAAAAGGTGCACGAAAGAGCTAATCTCAGCAATAAACTGTATTTGATTAGAAAGGCGTACCAAACCAAGCTGATAAAAGGCCAGGATATGCAGGATTACATAAGGTACACCCTGGAAATGATTGAACGCTGTGAGGCATAGGAGAAGAAATAAAAGATTTTTATGTTGCAGCACTATTACTTAGTGGTTTACCAGAAAGTTATGAAATGCTTGTCACAGCACTTGGTGCACATCTAGATGATAAACTGACATTGGAAAATGTTAAAGGCAAGCTTATGAATGAACATAACGTAAAACAGAAAGCATTAATAGTGACCGTGCTACTACTATCGCAGAGTCTGCTTTAAAGATAAAAAATAGGAATAAAAACAGTAACATGCAACGAGAAACACATGAATGCTTTCTGTGCAAGAAACAAGGCCATTTAAAAGCAGACTACAGAATCTGGAAAGCTAGAATGCAAAAACAATCTAAACTACAAAAGGCCAAACGTGGGATGGAAGAAACAGATTTTTCTTCAGACAATGAACATGTTTTTCAATCCAAAAGTTGCACCTCATCTTTGCAGGCATGGTGTGTTGATTCAGGAAATACGAGTCACGTGACAAATGACAGAAACTTCTTTATTCACCTTGACCAGAGTAAAACAGAAAAAATCACCACAGCTAATGGGCAAATCATGGAATCAGAAGGAATAGGAGATGGAATGTATCAGCTGTATAAAAGGAACAATGAAAAAAAGCTTTTTTAAAGCAGAGTAACAGCAGAGCTAAAAAAAAACCTCTGGACTTAATGCATCAGATCTTTGCAGTTCAATGGAAAAATTGGCTCCAGGAAAAAAGAGGAATTTTCTCACTTTTACAGATGATTACTCCTGGCATACTACACTATTTCTATTACACAACAAATGTGACGTACCAAAGAAACTTGAACAATATTTGGCTCAAGTAAGCAACAAATTTGGCAAAATGCAGAACGTATGGTGCATAGATAATGAAACTATATAAATAGGTGATAACCAGAGTCAGTGCTATCATTAGGCGAAGTAGGCAGCTGCCTAGGGCGCTCTGCCACTTAGGGCCCAGCCATGACTACTGGTTTCCCTACTCTCCACCATGGGTGGATCTAGGGGGGTGCTTGGATGGGCTACGCCCCCCCCCCCCCCCCCAGTTTTCATTTGAGCCCCCCCCCCCCCCGAGGCCGGTATTTCTATGGACACTGTGCCTGGCCGCTGAGTGCCTTCCCACATCCCCACACTCATGGCTGGGACAAGGGAAGAGCAGCCTGGAGCAGTGAAGCCTGCAAAGGAGAAATGACAGGAGAGAAGTGGGAGGTGCGGGCTGTGCTCTCCTCTGCTGTCAGTGGAGCGATCCTCCATAAAGCACATGACACAGGATCACTCATAAATCGGCATGTTCAGTGTTTGATTCATTCCCTGGCTCCCTGGTGCTGAAAGATAAATTGGAGGAGATAGGGGTTGGGGTAACTAAACTGTGTACAGCCAGATCCAAGAGAGATCCTGTGTCAACTGCTGTATGGAGGATCGCTCCACTGACAGGAGTGAGAGCACAACCAACACCTCTTCCTGGGGGTAAGGGTAAGCTTACAGGTTGGGGGAACTGTAAACAATGAAAGGAGGGGGGGGAGGGGTAACAATCATTTGTGCGGAGATGGTAGGTTTGTTCTAGAGGGAGGACGGGGGCTATTTTGTGCTGGGAAGGGTAATGGGGATGATGGGGGAGGAATTTGTGCTAGGAGGTGGAATGGGGGGATATGTACTAGGAGTAGGAGGGAGGTTCGGGGTGGAAGGGTGGTTGGGATTTGTGTTAAAAGGCGGGGGGTATTTTTGGGTTAAGTGGGAGGATTTTATGCTGTGAAGGGTAATTTGGAGGGGTTTTACCTAGAGGGGGGATTTGGGGAACTTGTCCTAGGTGGGAGGAATGGGGGGATTTGTGCTAGAGGAGAGATTTAGGGGAATTTTTGTTAGGAGGTGGTATTTGGAGGATTTATGCTAGGAGGGAGGATTAGAGGGGGATTTGTGCTAGGAGAGGGGATTGGGGGGATTTGTGTTAGAAAGGGGGATTTGTGTTAGATGGGGGGACTGGGGGATATTGTGCTAGGAGGAGAGATTGGGAGGGGTTGTGCTAGGAGATGGGATTGGGGGGGCGGGGGGGGGGGGGTGATTAGTGCTGGGAAGGATAATTTGGAGGGGATTGTGCTAGGAGGTGGGATTGGGGGGTATTTATGCTAGCAGAGGATTTTTGATAGGGTGGAAAATTTGAGGGAAAAGAGGATGGGCGCTGGGAGGGGTAAAGTAGAACTACAGGTGAAGTTTGTTTTTTTTTTTTTGGGGGGGGGGGGTTAAGTAGTATGTCTTGCCTAGGGTGAAAAATAGTTTAGCACCGGCACTGGTGAAAACATACAGACGAAAACATGGCAAATTATTTCAAACTACTATACAATCCAGAAAAAAACGGTGTTGCAGAAAGGATAAACCGTTCTCTATGTGAGAGTGGAAGAACCATGCTGTTTGATGCAGATATGCCGACCACATACTGGAGGGAGGCAATTATGACCGCATGCGATCTCTAAAATCAACAACCAGGAAAATCAACTGAGATAGCTCCAAATGAACTATGGAATGGAAAAGCCCCGAATTTGAACCATATAAAACTTTTTGGAAGCAAAGCCTATGTGCACATCCCAAAAGAAAAATTTACAAAATCGGATGCTCACGCAAAGGAAGGTGTACTTGTGGCGTACAGTGAATCTCAAAAGGGATACAGAATTCTTCAACAAGACACAAACAAGGTAACCATCAGTAGAAGGATAATTGTCAATGAAACTTCAGTGTGTTCACAATTTCATGAATTAATACAAATGCTTCAAACTGAGGGAAATTCGACATCAGTGTCAAATTAAGATAAGCAGCAAAGTGACACAGAAACAGAAATTAACACAGACAATCCAAATATTGTAAAAGAAGAAACCAGGCCACAAGAGGCTTCAATCAGGAAATTCACCAGAAGCAATAAAACCAGAGCCAGATTCATGGGATGAGATGCAAAGACTTCTAACACATGGGAAACAAAAGTGGATCAAAGCTGCTGATGAACAGATGACATCTCTTAGTGAACTGTAGACATGGACACTTTCAGAGCTACTTCATGGTAAACCACTTGCCGTCCGTCTGCTGTTTATAAACGGCAGGGCGGTGGCACTCCAGGGGCGGCTGCCGTTCATAAACGGCACCCGCCTTTTCTAGCTGTGTGCGCTCCCTGGGAGCGCGCAGCAGCACCGTGATCCGGTGCTCGCTGTGTCCTCCGGACACAGTGAAACACCGATCGTCGGACGGGACCTCGGTCCCGATCATGTGATCACTGATGTGATCACATGCAAAGTAGTAAGCAAGATGTCACTTGTGACATCATTGCTCACTACGTGTGAAATCTGTGAATGACCACAGAGGTCACATGGTACAAGGCTATTCACAACAGCCTTGTACCATGTGCCAAGGTGTGACCAATCACAGCTCACTCAGTATTTCTCAATGGCTGCAAGAATGCAGATAGAGAGAAAGAGAAATGATTGCTTTTACATCCTATAGGGGTGTAAAAGCAATCACTGTAAAAAAAAAAAATCTTCATCACCCCCCACAAGTAGTACAGTGTCACCATGGTGACACTGTACTGCTAGGATGACAGTATGTAAAAAAACAAACAAAAAAAAACCCCATAAATAATAATATAAAAAAATAAAATAAAAATGTAAAAAAAAAAGTTTAAAAATTATAATTTTTGGTTATAAGCTAATTTGGCTTACTTTTTTTTTCTAAAAAATATAACGGAATACATTTTGGCCAAGATTTATGATGAAAGATTTATTTGCAAAATTTTATAAGAAAAACACTTTTTTTCAAAATTTTTGGACTTTTTCATTTACATAGCAAAAAAAATAAAAATCCCAGCGGTGAATAAATACCACCAAAATAAAGATTTATCTGTCTCAAAAAAATGGTAAAAAATTCATATGGGTACAGTATTGCATGACCGCGCAATTGTCATTCAAAGTGTGATAGCGCTGAAAGCTGAAAATTGCCCTGGACAGGAAGGGGGTAAAAGTGTCCGGACTTGAAGTGGTTAAGGCCAAATGCGACTCTAAAGGCAAGGTCTGTAGGTACAAAAGCACAGTTAGTGGCAAAAGGGTACTCACAAAAAATTTGGTGAGGATTACGATGCTATTTTTTTCTCCAGTTGCAAAACAAAGTACTTTTAGAACACTATGAACTTTAGCTGCTTCTCAGAAAATGGTTGTGAAGCACCGTGATATCCCAACAGCCTTTCCCAAAGGTGATATCAAAGACGAAATACTGTAAATATGACACAGCCAGAAGGATACGTGAAAAATGAAGAGCATATTGTGTGCATGTTGCAGATATCTCTTTATGGACTCAAGCAATCAGCTCCAGTATGGAATTTAAAAATAAACATAAATTCTTGCTAGACGAATTATTCATATGAAGCCGAGCTGACCCATGTCTAAACTCAAAATGTGTAGATTCTGAATATGAGTGACTTGATTGTTCACAAAAAGGATGAGGAAGTTGCAAAGTTGACTGCAGTGCTTAACCAGCATTTTGAGACTAAAGATCTTGGGGATGTGATATATTACCTAGGAATTAATGTACAGCGTAAAGAAGTTGGCAGCTTCCTGTTAAATCAGAAATCTAAAATGGAGACAGTGCTTCAGCAGTTTGGCATTAATGGAGCCAAAGAAGAAAGTGCTCTCATGGACACAGCATATCTAAAAATGGAAGGGGATGAGGATCTTCTTCCTACTAATGATCAGTACAGACAGGCAGTGGGGACATTGCTATATATTGCAACCACTACATGTCCAGCTGCCGTGTCGCTTCTTTGTAGACGCATTGTGATTGACCAAAGCAGGTCATGTCAGGTGCAATTTCTTTCTGTACTTCTTGTCCCATTGACACATCAGGAGAAGAAATCTCTGAAAGTATGGGAATGTTGTTCCAACAACACCCAGTCTCATTGGAAGATTTCCCTTCTGTTCCTGTTCAAGTAACAATTAAAAAAAGGTGGATTTTCTCTCAATTTGGTCCCATTGAGAATGGTCACCAGGACTAATAGAAAGTATAAATATCCCCAATGACAAATAACTTGACAGATAACTCTCCCCTACTCTATCCAAAACTGAATGAAGAAAGACAATGATGGTAATGCAACAAATGTATTCATGGTTCTTGTTTCTTTGAATTACCTTAAATGAGTAAATCTGTCCCAGACATTTTTCCTCCTCATCGAGGAACATATCAAGCTTTATGTTGTCAACTTTGAGTTCTAGAAAAACTTGTAGGGACTCCAAGCCTAAGCAATGATTCAGCTGGTCTTGTATGTGCTGGTGAACCCTCCTCTCTCGGTAATCTCGAAGAAATTCTAGACAGTTGTCTTCTCCATTGAACTTGAGGTGGAGAATCAGATGTGGGTCACTCCTAAGAACCTTTAGGATCTCTGGAAAGTTGGAATTTCTGGACAACACTAAAAACCAGAGAAAACACAATTCTAAACAGATAGGTACCCAAAGAATACATTTTTCGATTAATCAGTTCCTGTGTCCACCAAAAGGGCAAACTATACTGTATATGAAAAACAATTAACCTGCGCTTGGGTAAATATAATAATCATGTGACAATAAAAAAAAATGAAAAAAAATCAGAGAAAAGCAGCTCACATATCAGGCAATATACATGATAGAAAATAAATAAAAATCACAGCGCTAATCAAAAAAAACAAACATAAAGTCCAATAAATTAGGTGGGGCTTCGGCGTGTGACATCATCATGTTTTTTGGGGGGACAGTGGCCATTTTCTTGGTTGGAAACTTGATTCAAATGCTGGTAACCATCCAATACAATGTACGAATAACGTGTAATAAACGGTGATTTTATTATTTAAATACTACACTATGAGTGGCCTTTTTCTTCTATTCCTTATCTAAATATTGGAAGGGAGTCTTCTTTTAGGATCTTTTTCAGATCTTTGAGAGGAGGATTGATATCTATCTGGATGAGATTGCTGGTTCCATGATCTACACATATTCATCTCCCATTTGAGTTGCCTATATTGACTGGTGTGTTTCGGTCAGAAATTCTGGTAAGAGGCTGAACTATTCGGGTGTCCTAGTGATGGTGGATCATGGAAATTGTATTTGGGGCTTTTTAACTGGAACTTTTTATTAATTGGACTTTGTTTTTTTTTGTTTTTTAGATTAGCACTGCAATTTTTATTTGTTTATTTTCTATACTGAATATCAGTCTTTTTTTTAACATAAATGCATATCACGCCACACAGGCTTTTCAACGTTGACAAGGTGGCTACTGGTCAAATTCTGTATGATCTGATGTAACTACCTAAGCAGAACTGCAAAAGACTGCATGCTTATGAAATGAAAATTGTCTGTAATTTTTTTCATTGGCATATTTATTTTTGGCTCATTTACAATGTAGTCTGTGAAAAACCTGTAGCCTTCAAAACTCATTTTAATTTTTGTTTTAAATCTGCAGCTTATTTAATTCAATTAATACATTAATATAATATTCATTAATAAATTAATATTAATTAATATTTTATTAAAAATAATACCAAGTGATCCTGCAATGAAGATACTTGTTCAGGCACTTTCTATTAAAGGGTGACAACGCCATGCCCATGTTTCCTAATTTGCCTCCTGCGTTGTCACACTGTCATACACTCTACCATAGAAGGCTACAATTGGCAATGCCGATGCTCATTGCAACAGGCATGTTCCACTACTGGCACCACTAAGAAATGATGGAATGATGTGAGTGCTGCTGGTGTGTGTACATACATGTAGACAACAACAAAGGATTAACTCCTTCATGACGGAGTAAAACAAAATCTTAAAGTCTGGACACAGGTTATTAAAACTGTAAATATCATCGCAACTATGTAGTGTGGCCAGGTGAATTATAACTGGTTTGTTTCAGGACAAATAGGGCTTTCACGGTAAATGCTATTGGATAGCTCCTGATTTTTTTTTATTTTCAAATGAAAACTGGCAAAAAAAATTGTAAAGGAAAAAAAAAAAATTAAATATGGCTTTATATTTCTTGCTGTTAACATAACCTAGCACTAAAGAACAACCCCAAATTAATATCCCCCTGCTCCTGGCAATCACAGCGATATCACATACAGTATGTATATGTTATGTGTGTTTGTACCTGTAGTAGGGCCCAGAAACAATACTGCACACTTTGCTTCCTTTTAATCCTCCCTGAATCACACTGACAATAAATTGAAAAAAAAAGTTTTTTTGTATTCCTGGCTACAATACACTGACCTTGACAGTTCACGACCTTTGACCCTGACCTTTGATCCTAACAATGACCCTAACCCTGACACTGACCTAGATCCAACCCTGATCAAGATTTTGTAACTATCTATCAATTTTTACAATTTTCTTCTCTAGCAAGGAGAAAAAGATACATCGCAATACATTGTATTGCTGTACAGTGGCTGATCACTGGCTATTGTAGCGATCAGGTGATTGGGAGCCGAGTCTCCCAGTTCCCAATTGTTAGTTGTAGACCCGGAGCGGTCACTGGCAACTCAGTCTCAGTGATGGGGGAGCGCTGAGCGGCATGCTCTAAGCGCAAACACAGCAGCGCATATATGCTCATGGTCACTGGAAAGAGTTAGTAAAAGGTTAAAGCAAATATTTAGAAAAATGGTAACTGTGTGCTCCCTGAGCCGCGCATGCACAGTGAGAATGGGAGGACATCATATGGCATGCTCCCAGAATGAGAGAACCACCTTGCGCCCATCATATTACAATATGGCGGGCGGGAGGTGGTTAAGAAAGCGATAAAGCAGCAGTTGGCAGGTGTCCAGAAGGCAATTCTGCTGTCTCATAAATGTCTGCTTTATTTTTTTAAATCCCAAGGAGAACTTTGTATTAAAATATTGCACTGCTTCAGCATGTAGATCCGGCAGCTATTGTGAACATTGGTCCCACCTGTCAAACTCTGCAAGCCAAATGTTCTGCCTCCAGCAGGGGAATATATTATGCCTATCCTGTCTACAAAATCAAATGTGACCACTATAGATGGAGCCAGTAAAAAAAACTGACTGTTTTACAGAAACTAGAGACTGTTTAGATAAGAGTTAAAAATTCCCAAAATTCTGAGGGAAAGGAAAGAGATGCATCTTGGGAACCCAGACTCTATCTTGGACTAAGACTGGCACCCTTTGCATCCCCTAAAGGCAGAATCGCTGGTGAGAATCACTTAATGTCATCTATAACCTAAATATTCATTGTGTTTTCATTAATTGTATGTATTTCTCATCTGTTTTTTTCTTAATAGTTTCACCCCACCCTGTTTTGTTATTAAAGCTTCAAGATTACATTCAGTCTGGCTTATTGCAGAATAGGATTTAGAATTTAGCTGCATGTTGAGTTACACACAGGGAAACTTGTAGCGAGGACAGAGCACGTGTCAAATTACAGTGGCAACAAATCAAATCATCAAGGCCGCAGTATTTGTACAGCCTCATCTGGCTATCATGGTAGAATTTACCTGGATGGTCGGAGGGTAGTAAAACTGCATCTTACCTGCCTGCTTTTTAATACCCTCTGGTCACCCATGTGAAAGAGCCCTTCAGGCTAACATGTTCTTTAAAGGAGAAGTATGACCAAAGCTCTTTTGACCCTGCATCTCCTGTGAGTCCCAGAAGTGCACTTTGTTCTGCACTCCTGTGAGCCGTCACACAGCTGATCCAAGCTCTGGAATCATCCCGACTTTAATGTCGGGATCCACCCAGACCACTGACTGGCAGCCGGCTCAGCCTCTTAACATGCCGCTGAGAGCCTGAGCCTGCCGCTCCTGCCTCCTCCACAGCCTGGCGCTCCAGTAAGTGGTGGAGGGGCAGAGCACAGAGTGGCAACTGACAGTCACTGCTCTTTGAAAAAATAAATATGCAGCGCTTTTGAAATTAAATATGAACAAGCATAAAAAACAGAACATGAACAGCATAACTGCATGACAAATTCAGTCCATATTGCATGGTGCGATAAAGTGATAGGTGCAATTGTCCCAATAATTCATGTTCAGAGAGAAATTCGTGACTCTTGTGATCTCGTGATTTGTACAAATAATGCACTAACCAGATAGCGCAACCAATGCGCATGGAGCAATTAAGACCCGCTCCTGGTGCTCTGGACTTGTAGTATTAGGAGGATGTCATCTGCAGGTTTGGCCACCAGATGTCATCAATCCAGGTATATGGGTAAGTCACCACCAGAGAGATCATCAGCGGGAAAGGGGGTGATCATGCATCATTCCCAAATGGACGTAACCTTCAAAAGCGGGCTCCCATAACATAGATGAGACCCAGAGAAGCCTATCAAAGCAAGGTCAGGCCACCAGGGTGTCAATCAGGATGGCTTAGTGGTATGCATACACAGGTCAAGGGCACCTCCCTAACGCGTTTCGTGTGCAAAACACTTCCTCAGAGGGAACTCCCTCTGAGGAAGTGTTTTGCACACGAAACGCGTTAGGGAGGTGCCCTTGACCTGTGTATGCATACCACTAAGCCATCCTGATTGACACCCTGGTGGCCTGACCTTGCTTTGATAGGCTTCTGATCTGGGTCATCATCTTATGTTATGGGAGCCCGCTTTTGAAGGTTACGTCCATTTGGGAATGATGCATGATCACCCCCTCCCCCGGATCTCTCTGGTGGATGACTTACCCATATACCTGGATTGATGACATCTGGTGGCCAAACCTGCAGATGACATCCTCCTAGCTACAAGTCCAGAGCACCAGGAGCGGGTCTTAATTGCTCCATGCGCATTGGTTGCGCTATCTGGTTAGTGCATTATTTGTACAAATCACGAGATCACAAGAGTCACGAATTTCTCTGAACATGAATTATTGGGACAATTGCACCTATCACTTTATCGCACCATGCAATATGGACTGAATTTGTCATGCAGTTATGCTGTTCATGTTCTGTTTTTTATGCTTGTTCATATTTAATTTCAAAAGCGCTGCATATTTATTTTTTCATGTTTCTATCTGGGTCCCAAGGTTACCTTTTATGCTAGCTGCTTCACTTATGTACTCCCAGCGCTCTATTACCTACTTATACAGTCACTGCTCTTTGCTCACTGAAGACTGAGAACTGACTGATCAGCGGTCTTTGATTTCTCAGTTCTCAGTCTTAGAAGCAGCGGGGGAAAGATGCAGCATTGAGCTGATGCTGCATCTACCTAGATGAGTAAGTATGTTTTTTTTTTCAGAATCCTGAACTTCTCTTTAATCTGTTCTACCTGTCAAGGCATCCCGGAGTGTCTTGTACATCAAGGGTTTATTTGTGTCATACGTAGCAGTCAGAGAGGTAGAATCAGAATACATGAAGAGGTACACACTCCCAATCCATTCTGTGGGAATCGAAGCCATCTCAGAGGCCTGAAAAGCAAAAACAACAGAAAGTTCACTCAATTTACTTGTGTCTCTTTATAAAACCCCATTCCACCCAGTCCAGCAGGTATTTCACACTGGTTTAAATGGGAGCCTACAATATCTGAAGTGGTAGCTTTTCAGCAGAGCCACAAACTTTTGATGCAGTCAGTTGACAAGACTGTCAACTGGGCAGCACAGTGGCTAAATGGTTAGAACTTCCGCCTGACAGTACTATGGTAGTTGGCTCGAATCCCAGCCACAGCACCACCTGCCTGGAGTTTGCATGTTCTCCCTGTGCCTGCGTGGGTTTCCTCTGGGTACTCCGGTTTCCTCCTACACTCCAAAGATATGCTGGTAGGTTAGCTGGCTCCTGTCTAAGTTGGCCCTAGTATGTATATGTATGAATGTGAGTTAGGGACCTTAGATTGTACACCCCTTGAGGGTTAGGGACTGATGTGAATGTACAATATATATGTAAAAGAGCTGCGTAAATTGACGGCGCTATATAAGTACCTGTAATAAATAAAAATGATAAAAAATAAAGACAGGAAAGTAGTAACTTGCATTATATATGTGTAAAGCGCTGCGTAAATTGACGGCGCTATAAAAGTGCCTGTAATAAAATAAATAAATATTACCATTTTTCCATCAAATTCGAGAAAACCCCCATATATGTTTGTTATATGTTCCCATTCACACAGCATACTCGGAGGTGTATTTACCGCGAGGCAAACAAGGCATTTGCCTAGGGCGGCAATTTTCAAGGAGGCGGAGGCACCCCCGGAAAAAGTGGCAGGAGGGGCATGGACCTTCTGAGGAGGCTGCATGGATGAATGGCCAGCTGCAGGTTAGTTCTAGTGATCGGGCCGCATGTGGAAAAAGTTGTTGGGGACAGGGGGGCGATGGCGGGTGATCAGGTTGTCAGTGGCCGGAGGGGCGGTACTTCCACTGGAGGGTTACTGCAGTCCACAGCACTCCGGGCAACACTGAGTGCTGACTCCACACCCAATGGCACACTCAGAGCTCAATCCACACCCAATGGTGGGTGATCGGTTGTCGGTGGCGGGGGGGGGCGGTACTTCCACTGGAGGGGTTACTGCAGTCCACAGCACTCCGGGCAAACACTCAGCTCTGACTCCACACCCAATGTCACACTCAGAGCTCATCCACACCCAATGGCGGGTGATCGGTTGTTGGTGGCGGCCAGGGGGGGGTACTTTCCACTGGAGGGGTTACTACAGTCCACAGCACTCCGGGCAACACTCAGCGCTGACTCCACACCCAATGGCACACTCAGAGCTCAATCCACACCCGATGGCGGGTGACTGGTTGTCGGTGGCTGGGGGGGCAGTACTTCCACTGGAGGGGTTACTACAGTCCACAGCACTCCAGGCAACACTCAGCGCTGACTCCACACCCAATGTCACACTCAGAGCTCAATCCACACCCAATGACGGTGATCGGCTGTCGGTGAGCTGTGGAGGGTGATGGTGATGGAGGTGGGGTGTTGGGTGCTGATGGGGGGGCGCCCGATTCTTGGGCAGCACAAGAAGTGAATACACCACTGAGCATACTACCAAATAATTAAAACAGAAACATTTCTTACCTTTCTAGGTGTTTGGAGCAGGCCTCAAAAAGATTGCAAGCTCTTCTGAACAGTTTGAAATGAGAGGACCCTCTATCTGTCCCCACTGAGAAATGAGGGACACTCAGAGGGGAATATATCAAAGCTGGAGCGGCCAGAATATGGAACGTGGAAACCAATCAGCTTCTATCTTTCATTTTCAAAGGTTAACTGAACAAGCTGAAGATAACAATAATATCCAGATGTGAGAAATGAAGGGGGGAGAAGGCAGAGGAAATTATTATTTTTAGGGTGAAGGTCCACTTTAATTTCTCAGCTCATAAACACAAATTCCTATTCATCTCCTTGCTGGGAAAGGCGTGCCTTTTCCTGTAAATCACGGCGGGCCTTCCCAGATTCCACTGAACGTAGAGCCCTGTAGGTAATATGACTACGACGGAGCTTCCTAATTTATTCACAAACTGCTCGCCTTCTTCTGAAAATGTGTCAAATGACAGTTGACTACATGCATCATAATAGATTGATTTAAAGTCAACATTTTGCATTTATTTCGATTTTTTTCCATTTCTATGTATATTTTGGCTTCTGCTTCACATACCAATGGCTTTATGTCATTAGGGAAGTCAGCTAGCTCAGTGATGTTGGGTACGTGCCAAACCTCCAAATTTTCTAGGAAAGAGGGACCCCTGTAAGGACAACCATTAAAAAGGTAAAGGACCCACATTGACCATACATGAGCTGAAGCAATCACTCACAAAGTGATCACTTGTATCCACAGAAGCTTTCATCAACACTACTTTTTGTTATACGAGTGCTTCAAAGAAATGCAACAATATAGAGCCCATCAACACAATATGCATTGGGCAGTTCCAACAAGACAACTTGCCTTGTGTTTTATTGTTTCAGTTCACACCAGCGTACTGCTTTGGCCGGTGCAATGCAACAGGTTGCAGCAGACTACAACACATCATAATGTGATGTTATGCATTATCCACTTCAAGTTCGGACACTTTCACCCCCTTCCTGTCCAGGCCAATTTTCAGCTATCAGCGCTATCACACTTTGAATGACAATTGTGCGGTCATGCAACACTGTACTCATATGAATCTTTTAGCATTTTTTTTGAAACAGATAAAACTTTATTTTGGCAGAATTTATTCACCACTGGGATTTTTTTTTTTATATATATATAAATGAAAAAGTCCAAAAAGTTTGTAAAAAAAGTGTTTCTCTTATAAAATTTTGCAAATAAATAATCTTTCTTCATAAATCTTGGCCAAAATGTATTCATCTATCTTTTTTAGCAGCCAAATAACCCAAAGTAGTTTCTAACCAAAAATTATAGATTTAAAAAAAAAATTGTTTACATTTTTATATTATTATTTATGTTTTTTTAACATACTGTCACCCTAACAGTACACCATAGTGACACTGTACTACCTGTGGGGGGTGATGATTTTTTTTTTTTTTACACTGATTTCTTTTATACTCATAAAGGCTATAAATGCAGTTATTTCTACTTCTCTCTGTCTGCATTCCTGCAGCCATTGAGAAATACTGTGAGAGCTGTGATTGGTCATAGTTTGTCACGTGGCGCAAGGCTGTTGTGAATAGCCTTGTACCATGTGACCTCTCTGATCATTCACAGATTTCACAAGTAGTAAGCAATGATGTCCCCATCCTCTCCATCACGACTAGAAACGCCACCATCAATCTCACCCCACACGCCAAAGTCCTGGGTGTCTCCCTGGACTCAAATCTTTCCTTCCAACCTCATGTCCAATCACTATCAAAGTCATGCAAAGTCCGCAACATCTCCAAGATACGTACATTCCTCACCCCAGACACTACTAAACAACTCATTCACTCCCTCATTATCTCACGTCTGGATTACTGCAACTCCCTTCTCACTGACCTACCCAAACAAATGCTATCCCCACTCCAGTCTATCCTGAACTCAGCGGCTAGACTCATCTACCTCACCAACCGCTCCACATCTGCCACCCCCCCCTCTGTCATTCCCTCCACTGGCTCCCGATTGCCCAACGCATTAAATTCAAATTACTAACTCTGACATACAAAGCCAATCACAACGCCGCCCCAAACTACCTAACTGACCTGATACCCAAATACTACCCTACCCATGCCCTTCGCTCCTCACAGGACCTCCTACTCTCTAGCTCCCTGGTCTCCTCCTCCCACGCCTGACTGCAGGAATTCTCCAGGACTTCCCCCATCCTCTGTAACTCCCTACCCCAACCCAGACTGTCACCTACCCTCCTCACCTTCAGGCGCACCCTAAAAACCCTCCTCTTCAGGGAAGCCTACCCCACCCTCACCTAACAACCAATGTCCTCCACTCCTCCTACCACTTCATCCCCCACAGCTACTTCCTCCTGTACCTCTATCCCCTCCCTCCTAGATTGTAAGCTCGAAAGAGCAGGGCCCTCGAACCCCTCGTGTATTGTATTGTATTGTCTCATGTTCTGTACCTCTCGCTACTGTACAGTGCTGAGCATACCCTTCAGCGCTATATAAATACTGTATAATAATAATACTACTATTCATGTGATCACTGATTGGCCAATCAGTGAACACATGAATCGGGACCTCACACAGAGATCCCGTACAGTGATCGGTGTTCCGCTGTGTCCGGGAAGAGGTTAAAGTGTTTGTAAAGGCTCAAGGTTTACAGAAGGTAAAAAACCTTCTGTGTGTAGCAGCCCCCCCTAATATTTACCTGAGCCTCATCCACCTTATCCAGCAATGTCCACAAGAGCCACAGTTCTCCAGGGACTCTCACTCCTGATAGACTGCTGTCAATCACAGCCAGTGAGCCAATCAGGAGAGGGACTCATTTATATTGTGGCATGCTGTTTTACATTTTTGTTTGATGTACATTTTTTACTACGCTTTGAGGCAATAAATTTAATTTGTCTTATTACACTATGAGGATTCTTTTTACATTTTGAATGGGGTTGTCTTCTACGAGGATAATTCTTTTGTAGGTTCACCCTTCTAGTCCATCTCTTGATGTGAAAGTTTGGTTGGGGGCTGCTAATTTGGAACCAAAGAGTATCCAGGTCTACGGCTTGCCTTTTGGAACTTAAACAGCGCTTTTTGACCCATCCATAACTGGGGGGGTCAAATTTCTGCCCAATTTCCTTTAGATTTACCTTCAACTATATAGTGCAAGGGCCTGAATGTGTTGTTTAGGTTTGACCCCCTATTATATAGTTTTTGGTAAATCTAAAGCAAAATTCTCAATACAATTGGATAACACTGTTCAACAAATTTTTATTTTTTGCCAGTTTTGGAAACAAAAGGATCCATTTCTTAATGAATTTCACATTCTGAGTTCAAATATAACAATGAAATTTGTCAATTGGCTCTAGTTTTTCTGTAAACGGAAAGTTTTCTACTAAAGGCGTAATGACTACATAATGCACAATAATTATATAGATAGATGTCTTTCCACAAATATAAAGCAAGTGATATTGACTACATAACAAAGCCTAAATGGCATAATATATTGCATAGGATTACCAAGAAAAATTATAGCTATGAGCTAAGTTGAATTATTTTAATACTTAGGATTCTCACTAGTTTTGTCTTCAGTTTGTGTCGGTTTTGCTTCTCTTGGCTTTTCTCTTGTATTCGAGGAAAGGGCTATCTCTTACAACTGCACGTGACTACACGCTTCAGGTTCTTCCTCACTTGACTCAACCACAAAGGATTCTGGTGCTTTAGGAATTGGTAGCCCCTCTCCATGAGGAACTGGACGTATTGCCGATGGAATATTTGGATAGTGCACAGATAACTTTTTCTTCTTATTTAGCCCTTTTACAATTGGAGGCACCATACAAAAGTAACAATTACTAACATGATCTGTTGGCTCTCTCCAAATCATTGGCACAGCGAAAGGCATAGATACCTTTTTTCCATTCAACCATTGCTCCAGTGCCGTCCCACAAGAATTGCAGCATATATGTGGTGCCCAGCTCTTGTCCTGGTCTCCTATCTTGCAGCCAAAATACAAGTTGTAGGCTTTCTTAATCATTCCTGTTATCCTCCTTTTTTGTGAGATAAAAGTTATTTCACCGCAGATATAGCAGAAATTATCTGCTTTATTCACACAAGTTCGAGGCATTACTGAGTAGCCTATATAAGCATAAAACGAACTGTAAAGACGCTGTCGAACTACAATCAGCTACAGATACTGCAGCTTTTATGCAGTGAAGTGATGCAATTAAAGGCTAATATTGCATCATCTCAGTATACATGCAATTTTCTATTGGTCACCAGTATCAATTGCGCAATATGCAGCTGAAGTTGCATCATAATTTTGAATGGCTTACGTCATTAGATGGGTGAATATATCATGGAAACTAGAGCCAATCAACATTTTTTAGGGTCATTTTCGTTTTCAGCACCCCAAAATGATGTAAGATTAGCTAATTTTATGCCCAAAACTTTTTACCTGTTGAACAGTGTAATTATACAATTTTCTTGAGAATTTTTCTTTAGATTTACAAAATCTGCAATTCCACAAAAGCCACAACTTCCCTGAGCCTGATCTGTATTGATCAGCAAGTTATATTTTCACAACCCTTGTTATGTAACCTTCAGATATTGCTTCATTTTCAACAAAAGCCCACAAACTGGAACTTGAGGAAATATGTTTTCGACATGCAGCCTGGCATACTTCATTGTAGATGTAAAAAGCTCAGGCTCAAGGGAAATGAGAAAGGCATTTCTTGTGTTATTGTTTGCTGACAGAAAAGAATTATGAACTAGAAACTCCAGATTATTTTGTCTTTTCAGTCCTGCCCAAGTAGAGAAGGATGTCTCCTGGGAGAATGAGTGAACATGAGCTGAGAACGATCATACAAGGAAGTAATGTCACTATAATACCTGGAACCAGCCTTAGTATAGTCATCTCATGGCCTAATTTACCGAGTAAGACCGCATTCACCAAACCACAGCTACTATCTGCTACATAATACGAGTTTAACATGACTTCTGCAGAAAGCAAAAGTTGTACATCAAGGGAAGACATGGTATGAGACCTGGAGGCCCAAATACCTACATTAATAATACCAAAAAAGAGACCTGAAAATGGGGACTTTTGAAGCACAACAAACCATATTTTTCGCTCCAAAAGACGCACCTGACCATAAGACGCACCTAGGTTTTAGAGAAGGAAAATAAGAAAAAAAATATTCTGAACTAATGGACTGCAGACATAGTACAGGAGATGACCAGAGACTGCGGATGTAGTACAGGAGATGACTAGAGACTGCGGATGTAGTACAGGAGATGACCAGAGACTGCGGATATAGTACAGGAGATGACCAGAGACTGCAGACATAGTACAGGAAATGACCAGAGACTGCGGATGTACTACAGGAGATGACCAGAGACTGCGGACACAGTACAGGAGGTGACCAAAAATTGCGGACATAGTACAGGAGATGACCAGAGACTGCGGACATAGTACAGGAGGTGACCAGAGACTGCGGATGTACTACAGGAGATGACCAGAGACTGAAGACATAGTACAGGAAATGACCAGAGACTGCGGATGTACTACAGGAGGTGACCAGGGACTGCAGACATAGTACAGGAGGTGTCCAGAGACTGTGGACATAGTACAGGAGATGACCAGAGACTGTGGACATTGTACAAGAGATGACCAGAGACCGCGGACAGAGTACAGCAGATGACCAGAGACTGCGGACATAGTACAGGAGATGACCAGAGACTGTGGACATAGTACAGGAGATGACCAGAGACTGTGGACATAGTACAAGAGATGACCAGAGACCGCGGACATAGTACAGGAGATGACCAGAGACTGTGGACATAGTACAAGAGATGACCAGAGACTGCAGACCTTTGGGGAGCGGGTACCCGAATTTGACAGGTACCTGCTCCCACTTCTGCTGCGATCGCCTAGGCAATCGGAAGCGTAAGTTGTCCTCCCTCCCCGTAGTCTCCCCCGTAGACACGTGACAGGTCCCAGAAAACTACAGGACCATTCACACGGCGTAGCGCTTCTCGCACATGCGCAGTGGGCACCTGGCTGTGAAGCCGGGTGCCCGCACTAAAGATTCTGGCACCAGGGAGAGAAGACGGCCGGTGAAACCAGCGGTGGTGAGGACACCGCTGGAATAAGGAAGAGGTAAGTGGTTGTATTTGAAAAGTCAGCAGCTACTGTTTTTGTAGCTGCTGACTTTTTTTTCTCAGCTGGAACTCTGCTTTAAGAGGCAGCTGCTTTGGGCCTTGCCAGGCGCTGCTGCACCGCTGACTCGGACTCCTCCTTTCTCCTGCCACAGAAGAGCTGAGTGGCCGGCCCGGTATTCTAACACGCAGCGGTGGCAATAGGGGGAGGGGGGGCCTGGTCATTATTCTCTCCATAAGACGCACAGACATTTCCCCCCATTTTTTCATGGGAAAAAAGTGCGTCTTACGGAGCGAAAAATACAATAATCATAAAAACATGATTTTTTTGCATCAAAATTCAATATGTAAAATTACATTCTATTTCAGAACAACAGTACTAAAATGTGTATAACATGAAAAGTTTACAATATCAAGGAGCAGCAAATCCTTTCCCTGTGATCCAAATTATTTGTAAACTTTGGGTTCATTCTTATGGCTTGGGCACAATGCGTTTCATGGACTTAATTTACTTCTTCAGGATCCATCACCATATAGATATTTTGACTACTGATATAAGAACAAATACAAACAATCAAAAAAATCACAAAAACATATTTTTCCTTTCTGGAATAATAGAGCCCTTTGCCGGTACACTTACAATATGATGCTCTATTATGCCAGAATAGAAAAATATGTTTTTGTGATTTTATGATTGTTTGTATTTGTTCTTATATCAGTAGTCAAAATGTCTATATGGTGATGGATCCTGAAGAAGTGGATTAAGTCCATGAAACGCGTTGTGCCCAAGCCCATAAGAATGAACCTAAAGTTTACAAATAATTTGGATCACACAGAAAGGGATTTGCTGCTCCTTGATATTGTTAACTTTTCATTTTCTAACACGTTTTAGTACTGCTGTTCTGAAATAAAATGTTATTTTACATATTGAATTTTGATACAAAATAAATCATGATTTTATGATTATGTTGTGCCTCAAAAGTCCCCATTTTCAGTTCTCTTTTTTTGGTATATATTCACAATATTAGGGATGTGGCACTTAAACACAGATTTTAATATCAATTATCTACATTAATAAACAATAAAGAAGAACACGCACAATAAATTGTTTAATGACTAATGGCTACAGCAGCCTTAAAGCATATAAGAAGCATCCACTGTCATGGATCTAAGGCTCAGTGCTCCTGTCTGCAAGCCTGGATACTCCATGGAGGGTAGGGAGACCACAAAATGTGTTTGCTGATCTTCCCTACCTAGTAAGCACCCAGAAGCGACACATATTACATCACTTTTGGGTTCAGCTGTCACTTTACCAACCACTGTGGCTGGGGATGAAGCTAATGGCGCATGAACTGCACTTCATTAGCTTAAATGGAAGGCGGGTGGCAAATGAGCAGGTCAAGACTCAAGTCTAATTAAAGAGAACCCATCACAACAAAATTGTGTCACATAGGAAACTTTGGTCCCCTACTGTATGTATTAAAACATAAAAAAGAGTTTAGTGAGGAAAAAAAGGTTAAATAAATTAAGTAAAAAAATATTGTACGGCACAGAACAACTTGAACTCCCCCCATTTTATTCTCTTTATGAAAAGAGTTTAGTGAGAAAAAAAAAAAGTAAGAAAAAAATATATATTGTATGACATAAAAAATAAATAAAATTCGAACTACCCCCGTTTTATTCTCCAGGGTCTCTGCTTTCAGAAAATACATGAGGTGTGTCCAGAACAGGGACGGACTGACCATTTGGAAACTCGGGCACTGCCCGAGGGCCCAGGGTCAGTAGGGGGCCCCATGAGATGCCCCTGGTACCTTTTTCATAGGCTTTTTTGAGTTTGGGCAAGGACACAGGGGCCCCATGATCCCCTATTGCCCAGGGGCCCCATGAGTTGTCAGTCCACCCCTGGTCCAGAATATCATAATGTTCCTATGCTGGAGAAGGGCTCTGTGAAGGGAAAAACTGGCCAAGGTCACTTGGGGTGCCAGGTATACGCTAGAACACTGATCAGTTGCATTCCAGCCCTGTCAGAGTCAAGACATTATTTTTTGTGACACCCTGTACAAGTGTCTCGTATGAAGAAAAATGCAAGTGAGTTTGGAACAGTGGCACATGATAAAATTTTGTGTGAAGTTAGATAAAAGTGCAACAGAAACTTTGGAAATGGTGAGGAAAGCTTATGAAAAGCTGCACAATCATCTGTACAAGTGTACCGATGGCACAAGGCCTTCAAGGAAGGACGAGAAGGTGTTGAAGACGAACAACGATCTTCGTCAAAAATGGAACAGAATGTGGATGCAGTGAGGTCTGCTCTGAGCCGTGATTGATGGCTCACTATCAGAATGCAGAGGAAACGGGAATTGCCAAGTCAATTGTTCATGAAATCATGACTCAGGATTTGAACATGAGAAAAGTGTGTGCAAAACCTGTTCCAAACAACCTGTCGCCTGATCAGAAGGAACACCGTCAACTTGTTTGCCAATAACTGTTGGCCCGTTTGGAAAGAAAACCTGATTTTTTGAGGCAAGTGATCACAGGAGATGCATCCTGGGTGTTTGAGTACGTTCCTGAGATGGAGAAACAAAGTTACAATGACGCACACCCACGTCACCTCGCCCCAAGAAAGCTGGAATGAGAAGTCACATCAATGGTCATTGGGTTTTTTTTTTTTTTTTCTATTCAAATGGAATTGTCCTTAAGGAATTTGTACCTACTGGTCAAACTGTGAATCAAAGATTTTACCTGGAAGTTCTTGGTCACTTGAGACAAAGAGCTTTCCATGTGCTGCCTGAGACCGGCTCAACTTGGATCCTTCATCACGACAACGCATAAGTGCTTTGGCTGTCAGAGAGTTGTCGGCTGAAAAACACATCACGGTGCTTCCCCATCCACCCTACAGCCCCAACTTGGCTCCTTGCGACTTTTTTATATTCCCAAAGATGAAGAAGAATTTGAAAAGACACCATTTTGGTAGTGTGGACAATGTCCAAAGAGCCACTACACGGGTTCTGAACACCAACACACTTGAAGACTTCCAGGGATGAAATGAATAAAGGAACAATCGCCGGGAGCGCTTTGTACATTTACAGGGTGCATACTTTGAAGGAGACAATGTTCATTGCAAAAGTTTTCAATAAAATAATTTTTAAAATGTCATTCCCATTACTTTCTGGACACACCTCCTATAATGTTTTGGGGTTTTAAGTAATCTTCAGGCCTAAAATGATCGTATATTAATAATTTTATTATTGTGTGCCAAAAAAAAAAAAAAAACCGCAAAAAGGTCTCAGTCAACCAAAGGGTTGACCAGCCATGATGTTTCCAATGGAGTAACCCAGTACTAAAAAATACACAATTCTTAATAAAACTTCATTAAAGCAATAGCCTTGCCATAAAAGCTGAGGTTACCCATATGGAAGAAAAATATATTTGAAATATATTTTAAAAATATTTTTCCCAAACATATTGACATATATATGAAATCCAAAAACTAACAAACTAAACCATTGCTCAAATCTTCATGCAGACTAGAAGGAATTCAGAATGCCAAACGGGGAGGTGCAGCCCTTCAAAGATCAAGAAATCTGGATATTTGATGAACAAAAGCAAAAAGGGCGCACTCTCATTGTGCATTACCGTGGTACACCACGTGAGCTCTGAAGAAGGGGGTTTGTCTCCCGAAATGCATTTCAAAAATGTAGATTTGTCTTTCTAAAGACACACAGTATATTTGAAATTTATTTTTAAAAATATTTTTTATATATTTTTGTAATAAAAATGTATTTCAACATGCAGTATATATATATATATATATATATATATATATATATATTATATATTTTTAAACATATATTGAAAATGGCCAAAATTGTAGCATTTCAAATATATGTCAATATATTTGGGAAGAACATTTTTAAATATATTTCAAATATATTTTTCTTCCATGTGGGTAACCATTATTATTATACAGGATTTATAACCATTCCAATAATGACCAATTTAACCAAGAGAAATACAAAAGAAGCTGTACCTCCACCCACATGGAAACAAGAAGATTTGCAGGATTTAGAGGGAGGTGGCTTTTCAGCAAGCAGAGCCTTCAACTGGTTTAACACAAGTAAGTTCATTGTGCTTAGATTTGGGTTTTAATCGCTTGCTGCAGAGTGATATACCAACTTGTTGGCAGTCACCTTATTTGCAACACATTGAACTCACTTGGACTGGTAAAGTATGATTGTGAACAAATGATTAAATCTCTCAGAAGCACAAAAGTGAATTTGCCCATGTAGACCTTGACTCTGCCAACCAAGAACAACTAGGTCAGCCACGACCTAAGTCACTTCCTTCAATTACTTGTATTGAGCAAAATGGTTAGACAAGGGAAATCTGTACAGCATGTGCCACACTAATGGCGTTCATAATGTGGTGTATGGTGAGTGGTATAAAATTTATTTAGAAGAGAGATAATGTTCTGGAAAAGCCCAAAGGTGAGCACATCTATAGAAGGCTAGGTTCACACCTATGCAGTTTGCGTTTGATCTGTTTCTGCAGTGCTTTTTGCATGTGTTTTTGCTGCATTTTGTGGGTTTTTTTTGTTTTTTTGTTTTTTAATTTTTGCTAGGCAGATTGGTACTTGTCTGTTAATTCACTGGATTTATTTATATTTTATATATATTATATATATATATATATATATATATATATATATATATAAATCCGGTGAATTAACAGACAAGTACCGACAGATTAAAATGCAAAACGCATCAAAAACACACTACATGCTTTTCT